ATCATCTGTGTTAGAATTCTTCTAAGTATCAGGATCTCCCATAATGAGTCAAATGCCTTCTTGAGGTCAATGTAGGCTGCAAGCAGCCCAAAACCATTTCACAATGACTCAAAGTGCTGGATTTTGGCTATTGTGGACTTGCCAGGGTGAATCCAGACTACCCCAGTCTCTGGTACTTTAATAGTTAGTCATGGATCTGTTTCAGAAGAGAGTGAGCAAAAACCGGATGTTGCAAACTACTATACAGATAGCTCACCTGAGGTTAAGCCAAAGCAAGTTTTTCCCCTTCCCCCCAGTTGATGCTGGCCTTTATAAAGGGGGGCACAGGCTGTGGGGCTCAACGTCCACCTGTGGGGTTCCCTTCTGCACAAGTAGAACAAGCTCTCAACTGCATTCTAACATTTGCCCAATTGGATCCACAACCCACCTCCTTGCTGAGTGGGAGAGGCAATACCTCTCCTCCCAATATTTCCATTCAAAAAGGATATTGCCAGTGATTTTATCTAGGAGGAAGTCTAGCAAGGCCCAACTCCCCAGAACTACCCATTAGCCTAGGGGGGGATGAGGGGTAGGAGTTAGCATGGATGTGACCACACACCGTGCTGCTCCGAGGTCCCCCACAGTTTATACCAATATATATATATATATATATATATATATATATATATATATATATATATATATATATATATTGTATATTTATGAGCATGAAGCACCTACCAATGTATATACATATATATATATATATATATATATATATATATATATATATATATAATGTATATTCAATGTACATATATGTATATATATGCATATATATGCATATGTGTATCCTATATAACACATACATGTGTGGGTGTGAGTGTGTATGTACATATTAGAATATATATATGTATGTATGTAAGTGGATGGACAGATTGAGGTTCGTGAACGTTGGGCTGAGTATTTTGAGCAGCTATACTAGGCAGATAATCCATCAGTTAGATTGGACGAAAGTGATATCACAATACTTGTGCTGGACTCGCTCATCAGTGAGGAACCTCCTACCCAAACCGAGGTTAGAGAGGCGATCGCTAAACTGTATGGTGGGTGAGTTGCAGGCATGTGATATCCCTGCTGAACTGCTAAATGCTTGTTGTGAATCTATGGCACAAGGCTTGCATACAGTTTTGACTCTGGATCAATTCCCCCTGACCTGTTGAGGGGCGTGGTCATCCCTTCCTTGAAGGGGAAAAGGATCGATGGGACCGTAGCAAACACCATGGCATCGCCCTACTCAGTATACCAAGCAAGGTTTCGCTCACATTCCTTTGAAATGGATCCGCGACTACTTACTACGGCACCAGAGACCAGAGCAGTCTGGATTCATTCCTGGCAAGTCCACAATAGACCATATCCTAACGCTTAGAGTCAATGTGGAACGCCTTCTTCAGTTCGATCGTAGACTGCTTGCAGTCTATATCGACCTCAAGAATGTGTTTGATTCGGTACATCAGGTATCATTATGAGAGATTCTGAGATTTAGGGGAATTCTGATACAGATTATTGGCTCAATAGCAAGCCTATATATTGTTGAATGAGTTCCTTTTAACCCATTCGTGCCGAGCGTCACGTATACGTGACGGGCCCACATTGAGTTTACTTGTTTGATTGTTTACAAACATAGATGGCTCCACTTGCACTTGTACTGCCTGTCTCGTCTGTTTACCCTTTTCTTTAGTCTACAAAATTATTTTGCGTTATCTTATTTTCCTGTTACTAATGTTTATAACATTAGAGTAATTATAATGTTTATAATAAAAATAACCATCGATATTCATAGCACTAGTAAAAATACATTTTCCCGCCAAATGAAATCCGGTAAAGCAGAGCCATCTAGTGTAGAGAAATTTCATTAAAAAAATATATAAAAAAATGAACACAGCATTTCCCCCATTTTTTGTTCATTTTTACCCGGCGCGAATGGGTTAACTCAGGAGTGAGGCAAGGTTATGTCCTTGCCCAACACTTTTCAACACTTGCATGGAGACACACACATACACATACATATATATGTACAAATATCTGTGTATATTCATATATGTATATATGTGTGTTTGTGTATATATATAATGTATATGTGTGTTTGTGTATATATATAATGTATATGTGTTTGTGTGTGTGATATTCATATACTCATATATATATGGACCCTTATATGTATGTATATAAATATATAAATATATATATATATATATATATATATATATATATATATATATATATATATATATATATATATATATATATATATATATATATATATATATATATATATATATATATATATAAGGGTCCATATATATATGTACACACACACACACAATTATATATGCATATATATATATATATATATATATATATATATATATATATATATATATATATATATATATATATGTATGTATATACATATAAATACATGCATCTATGCATATATATATATATATATATATATATATATATATATATATATATATATATATATATATATGTATGTATTTATATATATATGTATATGTATATATATATATATATATATATATATATATATGCATAGATGTATATATATATAGATAGATAGATAGATATGCATGGTGATAATAATATTGATAGTAATGAAACTGATAATATAAATAATATTTATGATAATGACAATCATAAAAAGAACTAATGATACTAATAAGAACACCAATAATAATGATATATTTATTTATGTATGTATGTATATGTATA